CAAATTAATTTCTAATTAAATATCTCATTTTCAGGTTTACTTTTATGAAAACAATTGTTTTGAACATTTTAAGTCAATAAACCTGCTTCTCTCTCAACCTTTTCAAAACCAAATCTTCATCCTTAAAAAAAAAAATCCCCCTGGCTGTTTTGTGATAATGTAATGGGATTAATGCATTATAGCTTCTTGTAAATTTGCCTGACCTCATAATCTTATTGTGGGAACTGATTCATCAAAGGTAAATAGTTTATAAATCAGTTGTAAAAAGAAAGAGATATATCCTGCTGCTCATACTTCACAAACAACCTGGCAAAAACTGAAGATAGGTATGAAGGTCCTGTTCAGTAGACCTTTTCTTTACCGATTTTAAACCCTAAATGCATAGATTAATCGAAAGATGTATACCAATGCATACCAGATAAGAAATTCGTTGTCGCAGATTGTTGACTTCTAGGACTTCAGATTTTATCCTGATTAAATAAATGTACTGCTAGATTGTAGACAACATCATGCCAATTCTAATAGTGCTTATTTTGACTAAGAAAATTTTGTTTGAATTATGACATTTTAAAGTTTAATTCAGAACTGCTATTTATTTTGGTCCAACCTGATATAATATAAAACTAAAGTATTTCATTTATTAATGCTTTTTTATTTCTTTTAAATATTGGGGAATGGGAAATAGATAGCTTCCAACTATTTCCTAATTCACTTTAAAATTATTCTGAACAGTAGATTTGTCTAGTCATCTTTGTTTTGACTATACTTTTCAGGGAATGTATAAATTTAAAGTTTTGTTACTTTTAATAATTGAATTACAAAAGAGCTTATTACAAAAAGACCACTTTTGTACAATTAAATCACTAAGGAATTTAATGTGACAAATCTTTTTATTGAATATTAAAAATTAACATAAATGCCAAATTATCTTGATTTATCTAGGAAATATGAAAATTCAATTAAATAGCTGTTACCTTAGATTGTAAAAGAACTAGTAAATGTCTTTTCCAGAATTTATGGTTCTATGTTTAGTACTATTGATACTAAAGCAAACTTTAAATTAATCATTCTTAATTCTATTTTCCTTTGTAGCTTTTTTTGTTAGTTTATATGAATTCTGTATTTGCAAAGACTGCTTGCCTTGAATGTATTGTCTTCTGGAGTTGCTCCAGTTCATCATTGTATTGTTGGTTATATATATATATATATATATATATATATATATATATATATATATATATATATATATATATAAAAATGATAAAAGAAAAATTCCAAAGATTTACTTAAAAATAAATAAATGGCATATTTCTAAGCTTTAACTATTCTGATGCTTGCAAACTGCTTATATTTGTTCTGAAAGACAATAAGGAAATACATGAACTAAAATTGAATGCAGACAAATTCCTCTTGCCTGCTTTCAGTATTTGAGGAGGAATTTTTGTTTAGATAGGATCATGCTGACTATAATATTGAATAATACCACTGAAAATTTTTTCTTTTTCTTTTTTAATCATTCCAATATTCCAAACATCTGGGTCACTTGACATATACTTTATTCTTAGCACCAAGAATATATGTTGTAACTTGTTTATATACATTGGCAGAAAATAAAAATGTAACTCTAAAGGGCAATATCAGGAAGTAAATTCTGAAGAAATTTTTTAAGCCTTTGGCCATCTTCCGATCTAGTAATACTCATATTAGTGTACTATGTTCAAGCTTTTGACAGTGATGTAAGTTGTGATGATCAGATCTCCACTACAATGCAGTCTTGGTAGGTGTCATGTCATAGAGATGTACATTTACTCTTTTGTTAAAGTAGAGCCAATTTGAGAGAGGTTTGATTGTGGGCCTTAAATGATAATTTTGGAAAATTGTTGGATGTTATGCATTGGTCATGCTTTGATATTGGCAACCATGGTCAAATGAAGATTTCTGCATTTGCAGACCAGGTTCTGGGTATCCATGGTAATAGTCAACACAGACTATTAGGAATTGCTTACTTAGAGTAGTACTATAAGCATCCATGCATCTACACAGACTTCACTTATGCTAGAACACCACACGTCTTCACTGTTGTCATGTGAATGGCACCTGGGTGATCAAATGGGGCTCTGTAATATTCTACATTCAGTTATTACATTGCTTAGTATTTAACATTTTCACTTTTTTAGCACCGTTCTTATACATTCTTTTTAAGCCCATTCATTTGTGTTCTTTTATGAATTGAAAAGAACATGCAAACAATATCTTACACCTAATAATTAAGATTAAATCTACTTGTACAGTTCTTAATGTTGTATCTGGCTTACTGCATTTAATGGTACTTTTATCAGATTTGCAGCATGTTTTGTAAGGGAAAATTTATAATTTGGGTGTGTTCAGAAAAGTTTTCAAATTCCTTCTCTTGTCAAATAGTAATTTGACAGTCAGGCTTATAGAATTTCTCTTTCTCTCGCTCTCTCTTTCTTTTTTTTTTCTTTTTTTTTTTTAAATAATAATGCTATCATAATGCCTGGATCAGCTTCAATCAATGGCTTTGGAGCATATATTTTCCTCCAGTATGTTTTCAAATCAAATGACTATTAACCAATAGTTAAACAAATGCACAAGATATGTTGTATTTCAACCTAACTTACATTCAGCATTGTTATCATTTCAAGTTGACTTTATACATTTTTAAGGAACTGAGCATCGGTACAAGTATTTAATGATTTAATTACTTTTCTTTGACAATGAAGGAAATCCTCACCATTTTTATTGTGAAATTTATCAATTTTAAGATCATGGTTTTGTTTACCTATCTTGATTCTTTCCTATTTTTATACTTTGTTTTATATAGTGCTATATTTTTGGTTGCCTTTTTAGATAATCCTTTAGCTTTAATACAAAGGATGTGCAAGTGACATAGTAGATAATGGCTCGAACTGAGAAATCAGAGTTCCAGTTAATTTGTTACATTCACTTATTTGGTTTTTAAATAACCCACAAATGGTTGATAAACCATAAAGAACAAATCAATCCATTCCGTATTATATTGATATTTCTATTAAGATAATACTTTTCACTTTAAACTATTTTTCTTTATGTACAGAAGATAGTTATAATCTTCGCTAAGTTTAGTTTTATAACTGATCTTGATGATTGGAGGGAATATGAATCATGGAAAATATAAAGTAGCTGCTTCATATATTAAAACAGCATAAAGGAAATTTTCAATTTCAAATTATTACTGTTTGGTAGGCTGTAATAGGCTATAAGAATCTTTTTCCTGTCTGTTAGTTTTTTTTGTTTTTTTTTAAGCATTCTAATAACTCAGATGACTGCTACTTGAGAGAAAGATAATGGACAGAAATTCCTAATAAAAATTTATTCTATTTAGTTATCACAGATTTAACCACTGTTTATAGAAAGCTTTTTTTCTCATTTGTAATTGAAATTTACTTAGAGGATAATAAGCTCCTCTTCAATCTGCTACATGCAGTTTGTTATATTGCAGCTTTTGTAAGTCAAGATGGTAGATTTAATGTGGAACAAGAAACTTGATACTGTGTTTGAAAAATGGTTACATATGAAATTTCCTTTAAATTGTATGCTTTTGATTAAAGTTCCTGTACTAAACCATTTGGTTGCTTGGTTATGTTTTCTTAATTTGTTAACTTGTATACTCTGTCTAGTTTGCATTTACATAAGGACTTTCTTCCTTATTCCAGTCATAATGACAGGAAGGACATGATGACTTTCTTGTTCCCAACCCAAACCCAGATTTTCAAATTCTCATATGCTATTAATTGTTCCATATCTCTTTTTAAGGAATAAATCTTCATGCACCTACTTAGGGTTTCAGTTCATTCATAATTGGTTTATTTATAAGTTTCATCCATTTGTAAATTATTATTTTGAAACACTTGAGATATTCACACATTCGCTATATATAAAGACTAAATAGCCAAAGAATGACTGAGAAGTTCTTAATGATGATATTATTTTTATTTTTAATAATCATTTCTCAATTAATTTTTTTTTTTTTTTTTTTTTTTTTTAGGAATCATTATTTTAAAAATTAGAAACATACACTTTTGTACCCTATGATACCTTGAAGAAACAGATGCTGCCAAGCCTTTCATTACCATAACTTGTTTTTGATTTTTTTTTTCCTGCATATTCCATTTGTGAAAATTATAAGGAAAGTCTGTCATTCCTTATTCAAGTTACAACACTCCTAGAATTTTTTTTTCAGAATAGTCCAGAAATATTTTATTCAAATTAGATCTTGTCAGCTTCATTATTTTCTCCAAGCTTTTTTTTTTTTTTTTTTTCAGCTGCTATATTGCCATAGTCATTGGGATTTTTAAATGGTTCTTTATTTTTAATTATAAATATCAATATAGTTAATACTGCAGTTTTTAGACCAAATATATTGCAGTCATAACTTTATTTAAATTCTTAAAAAGAATTAAAAGAAAATTATTTTTGCTTTTCTGACATTTGTCAAAAAGATATGTTATCATGTTTTATAAACAATGGATTGTTGAAACATTTCTATATCATGTCAGTATAAGTGTCTGGTAAATGTTCATACATAAGGAGGATCTGGAAACTTTCTGCCTCAACCTACTTCCCAAAATCTGACCAAGTATCAGATTTTTTTTTTTTTTTTTTTTTCATTCCTTGGTCAGGCCAGGAAAATTTTTTTCAGCAGCTCCTTGTGAATCTGCTTTTTGAAGTTGACATTTTTATTTCTTGAAATTCTAATTGCTGATGTTTTCCTATTCTCAAAATAGGCTTTGTACAGTGTTAAAGAGCATAATATACTCTGTAAGTTTAAAATTATCTATAGAAACATTGTTAATAAAAATATTTTAATTTTATTTAACCAGGTGTTATACAAATATTTGTAAAATCTTTCTTAATCTAAATGTGTAAATGTAATCAAAGCATATATTTCTTTTTGTTTATTTACAAACTTTGATTTTTCTTTCCCTTTCTCAATTCAGGCCGTGTTCATTCTGCTGTGATTAGTTGCATCCACAAAGATTCAAGGAGTGTTACTGTGGAATGGTTTGAAAAGGGTGAAACCAAAGGCAAAGAGGTATGCACTAGCTTGCATGAATGTAGCATTTATAATTTCAATGGATCTAAATTTTTATAAGCATTTTACCCAGGTAATTAAAGTCACTGACATCTCAGTGAAATTATGCTTCAAAATGTGATTTTCTTATTGTAAAATATCATATATTCATTAAAATATAGCTACATTTTGTGTAATATTTGTCTAAAGTTTCAGCTAGTTAAGTCTTGTTAATTAATATTGAAGGTTTTCTTATTGCTTGATGTAAAATTATCTATTTTTAATAATTTAGAATTGATGAACATTTTAATAAGGTATATATTTACAGATAATAAAAATGTATTTCTTTTTAGATGCTTACAATTCCTCTCAATATGAAGTTGCTGATTGACTCTATTTATTCTGATTAAAAAAAATCCTTCTACTTTTAAAAATACTGTGCTTTTTCACTTAAGTTTCATATAGTATTTTTAGAAACAGTAATATAGTTTTATTCTTGTAAAATCGCAATGGAATGGTGTTGGTGATTCAATTTGTTTTGCCTAGTATACTATAATTGAGAATTGCCATCAGATATTGATGAAGAAATGTCCTTGTTGGTTATTGATTCTCTATTTTATTGATGAAATAGGAAGGAAATTTTTCACTGGTCAAGTTCAACAGTCAGCTATAGACTGATTTATAGATCTAACCTGCATCTGTTTTCATGGATATTTTCTCTTTATCAGTTTCTAAGAAATTAAACCATATTTGCAATATGCTACAGAAAAGTAGTTGGGTTCTATGTTTATTCTATGACTCACAACTGTGCAAGGCTGGGGCATTCGGCTTATTTCATATGGAGCATACACAATAGCTTCATGCAAGGTGTAGCACCTATCAGCTTCTTTTTGGCCAGTTGCCATGGTATTTTAATATGCAAAGAGGATATCTTACATGGGATAAACAACTTCAGAAATTTTGATTGGGTCTCTCTCTCTCTCTCTCAACTGTTTCAGATAAATTTGTAATAACTAACCATAAAGGGCTGTTATGAAAGGCATTTTGATGTAACAATATATAACCCAACCTTTCTCCATCAGGAGTTATGCCAAGAGCAAATGAATAGAAAGATGACTTCAAATAAGATTTGTTGAGGGAGGACTAATATTATGCCAAGTTATAAAATTTAGTTTAGTCTAGCACAGTATCTTAATTATAAAATGCTGTATCGAGAAAATTGTTAAAAAATAATTGTTCAAAAGCAATTATTTGAAAAACATTTCTTTGAATTGTAAATTGTTTGAATGATAATTGAAAGGACAATTATACTAAATGATAATTATTCAAAATACCTATGAAATGGGTATGTGGTCTTGGTTTTGAGAGTCTATGCTGATTTATCTAGAACCAATAAAGGATGGCATAGGGTTTTTTTGTGGCAAATGTCATCCCATCATCCCACAATATGGAAATTCTTAGATGTTTTTAAGAGAACAGGTCTTGCATGAAATTCATATTGCAAAAGCAAGAGCAGGTTGCTAAAAATATCAAGAGTGCCAAGAAATAATGCAACATAAATCGAAAACTTAAAAAAAATTGGTGGCAACCTTTAATAAGTACTCTTCACTAGTCAACTTTTTGCATACAATATCATATAACTTAGTTATAAGGATTTTTTTTCTTACTGAATTGTTTTATTAGCGATATTTGCATTTTGAATAATTATCATTCAGTATAATTATCCTTTTGATTAATTTTTATTTAAACACTATAGTTTGAATAAATATTTTCCAAACAATTTTCACATAATCATAAAATGCTCAGTAAATCAAACTCAGAACATCAGCTGTCTGAAGGACTAGATTACTAACCATCGCTCTACAGCAGGTACTCAGATTATATATTTCTTGATCAGTTTGCATAACTGAAAGTATAATGGAGTAATACACACACACACACATATATATATATATATATATATATATATATAATGTGTGTGTGTCACTTAGCTGATTGATGATATTCAGCACCCTGACTCCAGAATTTCATAGACTAACCATTTTTGTAATTCTTGTCCACTTGTCAGGAGGTATCAGCAATTGACTGCTGATTTTTCTTTTTCATATTGAGTTAAAAGATAATTTATGTGCTTTTTATTAGTGTTGATTTTTCTTTTCTTCTTTGTGTATGTCTGTACATATGTGTGGTTAACCTATAGTTTGTCTTTCACAATTCTATTTGTATTAGTATAATTCCCTAATGAAATCCATTATATCACTCTTACCAAACTTTTCCCTTGTTTGATGTTCTTAAAAACGGTAACATGCAAACAAGCTATTTTTTAATATTTAATAAACATTTACTTCAAATAAAAAGAATTAATTGTATAATTAGCTTTTATGCTAAAAAAATAGTTACTTTTAAAAGAATTCTAAAATATTGTTTTCTTTTGTTTCAGATTGAGATTGAAGCTATTTTCAGCTTGAATCCTGATCTTGTAGATATGGATAGTGGAAAGACTGCCTCTCTCACCAAGGTAAGTAAACTTAATTGTAATAATTTATTTTCTCTTTCTTTGAATGAAACACTTGTGATAAGTTACACATGACAAGTGATTCTCTCTCGTTCATTGTGAATTTGCTGTTTCACCCACATGCTTTCCTCCTCTTATTTTGGTTCCAGTGCAGTGTTGTGTCTGCCTGAGAAACAAGTGCAATTTGTTGTGCTGTTGTCATTGCTTGGAAACAAACACTTTGCACTGCCAAATTTATTCATTTTGTATGATTCACTTGACTAAAAAGAATATACATGTAACCTTTTAGATAACCTGATAAAAAACCATTTACAAATACAAAATTTATAATAAGGTATTCCTTCTGTCAGATGTAATAAGTATTTAACATTTTTAGATTTTTAACTACTTTCCTTTTTTAAAGTTTGGACATGAATTTGTTCTGAAATTGATGGATTCACAAAAAAGAAAAATGTATCTAATTAATGGTATTGATATGAAAAAAAAAAAAAATTAAACTAACAGTAACTGAAAATTACATTAATATCTCAACAGTTTTAATATTCAAAATTAAGATGTTTTTCATTTTGTGATAATGCTTTAGATGTTATGAGGTGGAATTGACAAATCTATCATGTAAAGAAAAGTGTATACCAGTTGAGGGTCTTGACACAAAAGAAAACAGTTTTAAGACCTGTGTTTTGCATGAACAAAGTAGTCATAATCACCGATGATAAAAAGGGAAAAGAAAGTATGACCGGTGTTCCATATTCATTTTTCTGAGCCAACATGAAATTGAGATGAACATCGAGAGCATCTGAAGTAAAGAAAGGAAGAAAAGAAGAGATTGACAAACTGCAAAGTTTTTTGGGTTTTTTTTTGTTAAACGAATCATTCTGTTTCGGTGATGGAAGTGAAGACAGGAAGAAAGCTCACAAAAGCTAATTCTGAAACTACATATCATTCAATGAATTCTTGAATTTTTTTTTAACTGAAAATATAAAAATACAGGAGAAATTTTTATCTTACTTAGTCTATCAAACATGAAAATTTATTGAATTCAAGTTAAACATTACATTAGATTATTTGTTACACTGAAAAGTAGAAAATCTATACAGTTAAGACTGAGTTAGATAAGTTTGACTCTAGTAGGATATACCCCACCTCTTCCCCCCAAAAAAAAAACAAACTTTTTTTTTTCTTTTATTTTTTTCTTTTCTTTTTTTTTTTTAAAGAGGTTCATGTGCCATTAAACAAGAAAAACCAAACCAAGAGATAAATTGGATAAAATCAAGATCATTTAAATATGACTTGCTGCATATTTTTCTTTTAAAAATTATTCTGCCTTAAATTGTTTAAGTACAGTGGGTTAATCATAATTACTTGATTTGAGTTACATGAAAAAGTAGTGGAAATTATAAATTATAACTGTCTGAAGATTTGATACAAATTATTATTTAATGAATTATTAGATTTAATATCTTCATACAGGAATGATAAAGTCATCGAATGAAGAAATAATGATTGATTGGTATAATTAAAATAATTTAACAATGTTGTGTCAAGTTCCACCTGATAACTCACTTGCTTCTGATACTTTTGTTTATAGCTATACAATTGTTTTCTGGTTCACAGTATCCTTTTCAGAACTTTTAGTCAATAAAATTCAACAAAAATCCCATCTTATCCAAGTACCAACTTCAAATATTTATTTTTGTAAATTATTTTTACTCCTAAGTGGCTTTGACATTTTTTATTTAGAGCATTTATACTTAAAATATCTTTTGATTTCTCATAATTCCTATAGATAAAAAGAAATAATTTGGAATTTTCATCAATTAAAATATGGTTTAGGTGATAGTGTTATCTATTACTGTGAAATTAGCTTATTTCAAACAACAATGAAAAAAAATCTTTATAGATGACAGCTATTTATAAATAGAATGGAGAGATTCCCTTCATGTGTTCAACTTATTTTTATAAAATTCAAAATTTTCTTTGCATTTGGTTAAGCAAAATGCTTTTTTATTTTTTATTTTTTATGAGATGATGGAAAGTTCTTGGCTCATATTTCCAAAATCTGTATTCTGATGTAGAGTTATTGAAATATTGATTTTTCTGAAGTGGCTCAGAATGAAGTATATAATGGGTAGAGATTAGATTTTTAATTGAAAAATTTCAAAAATGCTTATTAATGAAAAATCTTTTTAAATTAGTAAGAATTTACGAAATATAACCAAGTATTTTCAAAATATTTTAGTGCTTTGCTGTTAGTAATGCAAAAGATTTTAGTTGATATACTTCATCAACAAAGGACCAAACTGCAGAGTATTGCCTTTACAATTTTTTTATCAAGAAAATCTTAATTTTGTCAGATTAAGAAAATACTAAATTAGAACTTAAATATTTAAAAAATCTGATGAGGAAAAGTAACTTCATAATCATCTAAAATTGTTGACATTGTTTTGGCTGTTTTGAATCAATTTGAAATGCTGTGTTGAAATGTTCTATTCAAAGTGTGAAAATGACAATTATTGTGTGTTATTATGCCATCACTATCATCCTTATTTTGTAACAGTTTATTTACCTATATAGCAATTGAAAACCATACAACATTGATTGTATAGAAGATCATGACAACTCTTAAAGATTTATTTACGGTTTGAACAGCTATAAATTAATAGGATTGTATTTGGTGCCAGTATTAAGCCTCCCAGTAACAATATTTGATGAGAAATCACTTAAAATAGTTATTTGCATTTCAACCATTGTGTTTGAAATTAATATTTTTGTCAGTATTCTCATAATCAACTGACTATATAGCCTGTAGCTCATAAAAAGGCTTACAAAAGCACAAGTGGAATGTACTTTTCTGGTATTGTTATTTGATCATATGATTGTTTGAATTGTAGCATTAAAAAAGGTTTAATATTAAGACTAGCTTTAATTATTTGTAATCGATATATATTTTTAAAATATCATTTCAAATAATGCAGTCTTGGCACAAAAATGTTAAATAACTTATATTTTGAAAGCAGACGTCCTTTCAGATTGTTTGGAGCCTGCTTAGACACCTCCTTTTAGACTTAACATTCCAAGTATTTTATACTGGCAAATAAATTTTGATTCTTTGTGCTGAACTACACTGAACCGCATCCCTACTTGTGTAAGCATTTCCTTACATTGACCAACTTGCTTCAATGGACAAAGGTTTGTTTCATTTATTGCACACTTTGTCATCAAAGGATTCATGTGGTGATGAAAATGGTGATGATGATGATGATCTAACCGAAAATGATGCTGTTAGTATAGAAGATGACAGTTCTGAGAAGAAATCAGATGTGTCTAGAGGCTCCAACAAATCTGCCAGAACCAATACTCAAAAAAGGGTAACTAAGTTGTTCCACAGCATGTGTTCATTCAAGCTGCATGCTTTTGTTGTGTTTGCTGTGCTGCTGTTTGCTGTGCTGCTGTTTTCTCTTGCAGTCCATTTTTCACTTACCTCTAATTTACACCTTCACATTGTTTTATTCCTTGCACTTTTCAGCCTCTACTATAATCATAATTTAGGCCACTTTGTGGAAATCCTGCTTCCTCCTCCTCCTCCTACTTTTACTCTTATCAATCTGTATAGTCACACTTTTTTTTTTTTTTTTTTTTTTTTTTTTACTGCAAAATAGCACACATAGTTAAATTTTAAAACATAGATGATTGCTGACCTTAGTAGTAAAAGATACATTTAAAAATAGTATGATATATTAGGTACATTGTGATTGCTGTCTTTGTTTAAAAATGTGTGAATTTATTGCTAATATATCTTGTAGCAAAAGAAAAACATAAATATTGAAATATTGCATATTTAACTAGTATTGTACTGCCCCTCCTCTGCTTATTCCATTTAAAAATTATTTATTTTGTTTCTGGTTTCCTTTTTTTCCTTAAATTTTCTTTCCTTTTTTCACTTTTCATAAAGCAAACTATAGTGTATGTGAATAAGTTTGACTTTGAAAGTAAATGAAGTTTGTTTGAATACAGTCATTATAGATATTTCCCAAGTGTTGATAGTTGTTTGGGTTTTATAAGTGTCTGATGAGTAACAAGAAGTTTGAATAAAATTAGGTATCCCAAACTAAAAATTTTATTTTCAATATATCTTTAAAAAAAAAAAATTAATACAAGCAAGAAGAGGTTTACAAAATATAAAAAAAATGATGGTAAATTGATTTTGGTAGTTCAATTAGCAACAAAGTTATGACCATTCAAAGTTAGTCAGTTTTTCATCTAATGTGCTATTGGACCAGAAGCCAATTTCAATGGTGTATGACTAAAGATGCATACTTCAGACTAGTTAATAATAATTATAAATGTAATATCATATAGGTAGTCTTGAAGTAAAAGAAATATATCAATCATTATTAGATCAGACCAGCCTAAACATTGGGGGAAAAATTGCATTCTCAAAAACAAAATAGCTATGGCATGACACAGAAGGGCACTTTTGACCATTCATATAAGTTTCATTTCAACAGTTAATGTCTTGCAACTTGTTCGGAGTCATAGTACAAAATTTTTTTTTTTTTTTTTTTCAGTAGTATATGAATAAAAAAAATTTATATTTATATCGTGTAAAAGTAGCCAGAAGCGTAATTTGACAAGTCAAAAGTATACCAGAGATATGAAATCACCTGATTATTAAAGACAAAATATTGCTCTACAAGGTGTAATTTTTTTTTTTTTTTAATGTTGAACTTCTATGGTATTTTATCCTCTAAAGTTTTCAACTTAGAAATTTTGTGTGAAAAACAACTTCAAACCTTATCTAAAGCTCACCAAACTGATGAGCATTGTTTTTTTTCTTTAAGATGAGACTATTTTGATATGTGTAAAAAGACAATCTCAAAGTGCAACAAGTTTTAAAATCACTACCATGAAATTGTCAACTACGAAAATACATAGTGTTAGCCATCATTGAAATCGTGACATGATTTAAAAGATCTGAAATAAAAACTAATCCTCACATAAGA